TAACAAGAGCATCAATGCAGCACTGATTATTATGCAACAGCGTACACGCTGACAGCAAATAATCGTCCTCCTGGTCTAAACCCTGAAGGCAACGCATGCAAAAATGGGTTAGGACTTCAAGCTAGGGAGAGGCTTCCCAAGGGCTGTGCTGGATTCATCATCAGTAGCTACTTATAAATCCAGCCTGGATGTTTTTCTAGAAGAGCTGCTCGAGTTCAAACAGGAATTGTTTTGGGGAAGCTCTGTGGCCTGTACTATGCAGGAGGCCAGGTTAGATGATCACCGGGGCCCCTTCTGGCTTTAGAATCTATGCACAGCTCAGCATGAAAACATCAAGAAATGCCATGACAGGGGTGTGCCCCTGTAACCTTAACTCTGCCCCACTGGGTACTTGCATCACAAAATGATAAGAACATAAGAACGGCCACACTGGTTCAGACCAATGGTCCATCTAGCCCAGTGTCCTGTCTTCCGACAGTGGCCAGTGCCAGGTGCTTTAGAGGGAATGAACAGAACAGGGTAATTATTGAGTGATCCATCCCGTCATCCATTCCCAACTTCTGGCAGTCAGAGGCTAGGGACACTCAGAGCATGGGGTTGTATCCCTGACTGTTTTGGCGAATAGCTGTTGATGGACCTATCCTCCAGGAATTTCTCTAGGTTTTTTTTTTAAACCCTTGATCTTCCATTACATGCTGTTGTTCAAATATTGTACACAGATTTCTTCAAACACCTATAGATAAACCCATCGCATTTTGTAAGTAACCTTGAGAAAGAGACAGTCTGGAAAATTTCAGACCAAAAGATGAAGATTTCTGCAGATCTCAAAACAGAACCTGTCAAAACACAAAAAATCAAATTATTTTCATTTCAAAATGAATTTTAAAGTTTGGAAGTGTTTTTTTGTTGTTGTTCTGGTTTGGATTTGGTTTTGTCTGTTTTCAAGTGTCCCAATAAGTTGTTTTTCATTTTATCGCCATTTTATCTTTTAAAATCTTTTTATTAATTAGAAGCATTCTAGAAAGGATTATGGGCATTTTTCTTTTACCAAAAATCTGATGTCCAGAAAATGAAACATTTCGATAACTATTTATTTTTCAAAAGGCACTAGGTTTTTAATGAAAAAACAAAATATTTTTGATAGTTGACACATTTTTGTGAAAAATTTTGTTTTTTTTTAAAAAAAGCCCATTTTTCCAGTAACAAACTTCCTCTTCGACAAATGCCGACCAGCTCTAGCTACTTTACAGGTGCTTTAGAGGGAATGAACAGAACAGGGTAATTATTGAGTGATCCATCCCGTCATCCATTCCCAACTTCTGGCAGTCAGAGGCTAGGGACACTCGGAGCATGGGGTTGTATCCCTGACTGTTTTGGTGAATAGCTGTTGATGGACCTATCCTCCAGGAATTTCTCTAGGTTTTTTTTTTAAGCATGACTGGAAAGGGGCTGAGAATGGAAACCATTACGGAACCTTCACTCTAACAGGCTCTGCTGCTGTGGCTGTAATGCCAGGGGCCAGCTGCTGAGCCGCCCTTATCCCTGAGATGTGCAAAGCCCCCTGAACATGCTAAATGCTCCTGCAACAAAGAGCAGGCACTGGAGTTTGGTCACAGAGGGGACCCTGGGGCCTGGGATTTGTTCAGGCCGAGAGCAATGCTGAGCTACCAAAGCAGCCGGCTCTACCCGGTTATTAGCAAAGCCAGCGCTGAAGCCACATGGCTCACACCAGCAGCAGATGTTCCCCCAGACACACGGCCCAACGCTGCCACATTAAGATGTCGCCCGTTCCTCATCTCTGCACAAGAAACGCCAGCATCGCAGCCAGGGGCCATTGTCCAGCTCCCCAGCTATTGATGGTAAATTAGCAACTGGGGAGCAAGATCCCAAAGGAGACACTCGTGAGTTTGACTGTGTACAAGCCCACAGTATATTAGGGAGTCCTTGAGTTTGATGGAACTGTGACATTCATTCAGCGCCACAGCATGTCTGTAAGCCGCTCATCAGAGGTTACAAAGGGTTAACCATGGTGACAGATGGCATTGGAAGAGCTGGGCGGGGGAGCCCAGGGCTGGGATAACAAGGGGGCTGCAGGGCAGAATTGAGAGATGCATTGGCAGAGCTGCATGGCCCAGGCCTTGCTCAGACTGTCTGGCTCCATGAAGCCCCCCGCTTTGAGGAGCACTGGAGCTGGTCACCAGCTTCGAAGAGACTCAGAAGATTCCCCAGAATTCAGGGCCACAGGGCAGGGGGTTTCACTTTTGAGCTGGGAACGTTACAATTTCGACAACTCCGAAATCTCATCCAACACCCGTGTATTAAGCCGTCGGGCAGGTTCTTTGCATTTTGGAGAGTTTAACCACACTGCATGCACCAAGGCCAATCTGTCACCAGGCCCTCTCCATGCACGTTGCAGTCGTGACACATGGACCTGGGGAGAAAACACCTCCCACAAATCATTTACTGGTAGGTAGCAAATTATTCCTGACAGGGAGAACATTTACCCGCTTGGAGCCTCCGTCCAGCCCCCGGGAGACCAATTACATACTTTACAATAACACAGGTCTCGTTCTATAGATGCAGGAAGTTTCTCTTGTGATAATTACAGAACTCATGAGGAAAAGCCAGAGCTACAGCAAGAATCGTCTGCCCACATAGCAGCACCTTCCACCTGCGGCTGTCACAGCCCTGGGCGTGTGCGACTGAGCTGGGCTCACCCTGTTATTGCCATCTCACAGCTGGCGTTCGAAGTGCTAGAACCCTCTAGCCCGGGATCCCGACTCTGCACCAGGTGCTTCTGAGAAAGATGCAAGACACCCCCCTCCCCAGCCCCTTATGGGATAAGCCGGCCCTAGGGGGACTCTCCTCCAACCCTATTAGTTAGAGGCTAGGTCATGCCCTGAGATAGGAACATTCAGATCCGTTGCAAAAGCTATTGGGATTTGTGTTTGTTTTTAAATCCTCAGGGTCCTTGCTCCAGCCATGTAAATGCCTGCTAAGCCCTCGGCGACAGTGATATCTAGTGACAGTGAGTCCCACAAGTTAACCCTGCATTGTGCTGCTTTTCAGTTTATTGACCATCCCCTGCTTCGTGTGCTCTGGGGTCGGTGAATAGCCGAGCCAGGCCTCCCTTCTCTCTCCCAGGCCTTACTTTGTGTCTGTCACCTCCCCTCTTACTTATCCCCTCTCTAAAGTACCTGATCCCAGTCCGTCCAGGCTCCCCTCATCCTGAAGCCTCCCCAGGCCTGTAATCATTCTCATCCCCTGCCTGTGACCCTATGAGCTGGGGTGCCCAGACCGGCACAGCTTCCCAGGGGAGGCCACCTCATTGATTTCTAGAACGACAGAGCTGCATTTCCATACGATTCTACACATCCCCCTCGTGCACTCAAACGTCTTTGCATTCTTCGCCATGCTAAGCAAATTAGGCCACCCACAACGCTGCACTGGACTTTTCCAAGGTCACGTGGTGAGGCAGTTGCAGCGCGGGCACACACTGCAGGGAACGGGGCTCCTGGGACTGAACACAGACCATCGTTCTTCCCTGGAGTGTTTCGTTCTTCCCTGGAGTGTTTCCTCGCGAGGGATCTGCTCCTGCCATGCAGCAGGGCTGAGCCTAGCAGGGAATCCCAGGGGCCTTGGCAGCACACACATTAATGGGGGGGGGGGGGCCTTGAAAAATAAATGTGACTATTTAGATGCAGAGCGAGAGAGACTGAAGGGACAGGGACTGAAAAAAAATGTTGGAGCTCAGCCGAGTGGGCTTAGTGGGGGAGGAGGGTGGGCAAGATGGGGGAAGCTAACAAGTGTCCCTCTCCTCTGGAAGACGTCCCTTCTGGGTCGCAGTGCTGGGGCATCGTCAGTACCGTGCCCCATATCAGGCCAGGGGTGTCCTCAGTGCACGGCCCTTAGCATCGCTTGGGGGGGAGGAGGGGGGAGAACCATAGCGCACCGCCCCCTAGTGCTGGGGATCGTCAGCACAGCGCCCCCTAGTGCTGCTGGGGGGCAATCATCAGTGCAGTGGCCCCTAGAGCCCCGGGGGGTGGGGGGAGAAGGTCAACGCAGCACGCCCTAGTGTTGCTGGGGGGTCAATGTAGTGCCCCCTGGCACCACTGGGGGGGGTGCGGAAGGTCAATGCAATGTGCTCTAGTGTCCCTAGGGGCGGAGGGGGCGGCCACTGTCACAGCGCAGTACACAAATGCTGTCAGAATCAGGACAGAGAACGGGACAGGTCAGGGAGGAGGCGGCTCCTGGGACTCTACAGCCAACGGGACCAAGGGGGCTGGTATGCGATGCGTCCTCACCCACAGCCGCCATGGTACTGGGGATGGCATCACTCCACTCCGCCCCCACTTCTTCAAAGGCTGCAGCCGGCCCCTCGGCCCCAAGCCCGGTGATGGTGCAGAGCGGGGACGGAGACTAGTCTGTCACGCAGGCCTCAGGGAAGGAGAAGAGGGTTTACACCTCACTTACCCTTAGACATGGGTCAGTCACTATAGCCACTCTGTGCCTCAGTTTACCCACTTGAAAAATAGGGATCGGCTGGCTGGAAGGGTGGGGAGGGAGACGCGTAGGCAGCAGTAATAGGGGGCATGATCTGAGCAGCAGGGGCAGCCGAAACCCCCGGCCGGGCTGAGCCTTGGCCACGTGAATGCCGGGGTACAACAGCTCAGCCAGACAGGCCCTGCAGGATTCCCTGCCTGCACCTCCCACGAGGGGCTGGGTCCTGGCACCAGCAGGGCAGGGGTGCCGGAGACAGAGCGCGAGAGCAATCGAACTAGAGTGCTCTTCACACCTCGCACACTCGAGGGGGAGACGGCTCTGGAGGGCTCTGCGCCTGCTGGCTGCCTGCCCCCAGGCAGCGAGACACGTACAGCCCCCACCCCGCAGCCCCAGACGCTCCGGGCCAGAACCTCGGCTGGCATATACCCCCGGAGAGCTCCAGGGAGTTACAGCGGCTGAGATCTGGCCCCTGAGCTCCAAACCAGCATGAGGCAGCATTGCTTTGGTTTTAGGGTTTATTGAAGCGAGTGAAAAGCCAAGCGCCCACAGGCAGCTCCGTGGAGAGCTGGTGAGAGGCAGCAGGCGAGCAAGCAGCCACTGGCCATGGCGCACAATGGCAGGTGGGCGGCAGGAGCAAAGGGTGGGAGTGAGGAGCTAAACCACATCATACATCGGGCTCTCTGAGCCCACCAGTGGGGTAGGGGCTGGCCCTGGGGTTGGCATGTGTGGGGCTGGAACTGTGGGCATCAAGAGCTTAAAAAAGCTACAGAGAATTTGTCCCTCAGCAGCAGGCCCAGGGACTCTGGACCACTTCCCGCCACCCCCCTGCCTCCCACAAGCCAGAACCAGGCCCCTTGCTGATGCACATAGGAGCCAGGAGCCCACAGGGGTTACTGGGTGACATCACTCCCTGACCCCTCCGGAGCACCCTTTCAGTATATGCCACAGCGCGCCCCACTGCTGACACAGTAGGCTGACAGCAGCTCTCCACCCGCTGCAGCCTGGGAGCTCCCATGGGGTGACAGCCCCCAGAGACCCAGCTCTGAGGCTGTGGGGAGCTCACACAGCCAGTCACCCACCCTAGGAGCCAGGGCCCTGGGCTCCGAAATGCCACCTCCAGCGAGCGCACGGGGGATGGGACGGGAAGCCAGTGGGACCTGTACTGGTTGCTCCTCTACAACGGGCAGACTCGGATGCCTTCTGAGACCTGCAGAACTTTCCAACTGGCTCACAAGTTTGCAGGTCTCAGCCTCACCTTGAGTGGTGACTATCATTGCCCGTAAAGTGGCCTGTCGAACAGACTCCACCGTGCTCTGCCCACCAGCGCCTCCAGCTGCAGAGAAGATCCCCCCCAGCCCAATTCCCGCTGGTCAGAAAAACAAAGTAACTGAGTTCCGGTGTGCGGCCGGCGGCCCCCTCTGCAATGTGCCAGCTCCCCTCCTTGTGTGACGCGGCTCGTCACGCTGCCTCCCGTGGCCTCACCCTGTGATGCTCCTCGGGCAGAGCCCTCAGGCGCTCAGCGGCCTGTGGGGAAAGGGAGAGCACGGGTGAGACTTCAGCAGGGAGCCGAGAGCACTGGAACCGGCACCAAGGCCCCACGTGGCTGCTCCAACTGGACGGGCAAAGAAATCGGGGGCTGATTCCTGCAGTTCAGAAGCACGGCCTATTGGGGGCACCAAACCCCTACGCCACAGCCCACCCTTCGGGGGGGGGAGGGGGTAAACTCCCAGCCTGCAGCCCCACACCCGCCCCTGGGTGCCCAGCCTAGGTCACTCCCAACAGAGCCCGCTCCCGAGAACACCCTGCCCCCGATCCAGGGCTCGTGCCGCTCACCTGCTCCGGCGTCAGGTCCCGCTGAGCCTGGGCTAGCATCTCGTAGCCCACCATGAACTTGCGGACAGTGGCCGAGCGGAGGAGGGGCGGGTAGTAGTGGGCGTGAAGCTGCCAGTGCCCACAGTCTTCTCCCAAGTGAGGCCCCGTGGGGGCGCCTGCCAGACACAAGCCCAGCAATGATTCCAGGTACCGGTCACAGGACTGAGACTCTGCTCACATGGCCCCCCGAGCAGCCACCGTGACCGGCAGGGGCTGGATTTGAACCGTCAACCCCACATGCCAATCTCCTGAGCCACCCGGTGCCCTGACTCGCCCAGCACTCACCTCCCCGGCCCCCCCACCCCCCAGCCACGTACCATGCCAGCCCATGGAGTAGGGGAAGGAAACCTCAAAGAGGTTGTCGTACTTGGTGAGAAGCCTTTTCATGATTGAAGCCAGACCTGCAACACAAGGACAGCGAGTGATCTGTCACCAGCCCTAATCCAACCCGCCCACAAGCCCTTGGCCCGTGTGGTGGCACAGATAACAGGAGGGTCCCTGGCGCAGACGGGGGGGCAAAGCTTTCAGAGGAAAAGCACAAAAACTCTTCCCTGGGTCGCATCTGGCCACGGGCATCTCACGCCCGCCTGCGAGGCAGCTCAGTGCCCTGTCAGCAACCCAGTCAGCAAGGGGGAAGCTCTCCAGAACTCACATTCCAAGCCAGAGCTCACAGCAGTCCGACACCTCGGGCTGGGCCAGTTTGGGTCGCAGCTATGGAAACACAAACTGGGGCCTTGCCCTTATGGGACACAGTGAGTGTCGACTCTGGAACCTAACGACAATGCGACCACCAATGCCCTTAACTACTTCACTGCTGGGCAGAGCTTGCAAGGGAGAAGAGGGATCATGTCACCGATTGGTTGGATACAGAGAACGCCTCACCCTGGCACTGCTTGAGAAGGGAACGCTGCTCATCCTCCCTTCCCACCCACCAACCTAACCCCTGGTTCAAACTGCTCCAGCGCCTCTGGGGTGGACCCCAAACCACAACCCTCCTCTGCACAGCCACGCCTTCCCTAGTGCCTCTGGGACAGGGGAAGCTGCCCTGAGATTAACCCCTTGTTCACTGGGGGCCAGGCAGTGCCCCTGCCCCATCCCAGTGCTTTCCCAGAATCCAAGGCCAGATTGTAATCATCTAGTCTGCCCTCCTGTGGAACACAAACCTGGAACTGCCCCGTAATAAACCCTGAAGCAGATATTTTGGAAAAATACCCAGTTTTGATTTTAAAATTGTCAGTGATGGAGAACCTACCATGACCCTGGCTAAATTGTTCTAATGGTTAATTGCCCTCATTGTTAAAAATTTACGCCTTTATTTCCAGTCTGAATTTGTCTCGCTTCAACTTCCAGCCATTACATTACGTTAGACCTTCCTCTGCTAGACTGACGAGTCCATTGTTAAATATTTGCTCCCAGTGTAGTTACCTATAGGTTATAATCAAGTCACCCCTTAACCCTCTCTTTGTTCAGCTAAAAAGACTGAGCTCTGAGAATCACATGTCACTCTCAGGCAGGTTTTCCTTTAATCGTTCTTGTGGCTCTTCTCTGAACCCTCTGCAATTTATCAACATCCTTCTTGGATTGTGGGCACCAGACCTGGGCACAGGATTCCAGCACCGGTTGCACCAGTGCCAGGTACAGATGTAAAATTACTTCTCTACTCCTACTTGAGATTCCGATTTATGCATCCCGGGATCACGCTAGCTTGTTCGGCCATGGTGTCGCACTGGGAGCTCACATGCAACTGATTATCCACCATCAGCCCCCAATCTTCTTTAGCTTCACCGCTTCCCAGGAGAGAGTCCCATATCCTGCAAGCGCGGCCTGCATTCTTTAGTCCTAGATGGATTCATTTCCATTTAGCCCTAAGCCCTATTAAAACGTAAGCACATTGTTTGCTTGTGCCCAGTTTACCAAGCGATTCAGATGGCTCTGTATCAGGGACCTGCCCTTTTCATTATTCACCTCAACCCCAGTCTGTGTGACATCTGCAAACTTCCCAGAGCCCCAGGACCTGTTGGGAAAGCTTGTGCCTCGCATACCGAGCCACCTGCCCTCAGCACAGCGTCGGCCGCCCCCACCTCCCAGCCTAGTGGGCCGAACATAGGGCAGGCAGGCAGGACGCCCAAGTTTATTCCTTACTGTCAGGGAGTTGCGGGACACACCAAGCACCGGCCCAAGCCTGGCTCTGGAAGCTTCGCATGAGTGGCATGGCACCATGCAGGGACAAGCATGCGGGACTCAGCCTCCCAGCACCCCCACATCCTGAGCCCAGCTCAGCACAGAGCACCTGGGGAACTGAACAACAAAGAGCTGCCCTCCAATCCCTCGTGCTGGGCACACAGCCGGAGCTGCTCCGCCACGCTCCAGAATCCCCACTTCTGATTTCATACAGTGCAAGAGAAGGAAATGAGAACGGGGGCTGGGGACCCTGCAATCCACCAGCAGTCAAAGCGGAGGGTGGGTGGGACAATGGGAAGCAGTGATTGGAGCTGGTATGAGAGACAGGCACGCTGCCTGCATTGCAAATCCAGCATTTCCCAGGAACCTTTAAAGCTCCGGCTGCCTCCAAGCGAGGATGGGACGGGACTGAAGCGGACTGCCCTAGCAGCTGCCTTTGAGACTCTGGAGAGCGCAGTAACGCTCTGGTCTCTTTATGAATGAGAAACACAGCCCACTGCGGCACATCTGCCCGAGTCTGCGGACAGCCTGAAACAACGGCTCTGAGATGTGCAAGCTGTCCCCACTCATCTCAATCGGGTGTTCCCTCTGAAGCGGAATGATGACATTCATATGATTAACTCTCTCATTGCTGATCAGAGCACACAAGAAAGGGGAGGGTCGCATTGTGCAGATTTTCATAATAGGCTATAAACACTCTCATTCAGGCATCCAAAGTGGGTAGAGCTTGAGTGTAACAACTTCTTCCCACCCCCACATCTGACCCCCGCATTCGCGGGGCTCAAAGCAATTTACAAACCATGACACCTAACAGCTGCCTGCCAGGCAGGGCAGCATCATTACCCCTATTCTACAGATGGGGAAACTGAGGCAGGAAAAGCTAGATTTCCTTGCCTGGTGTCAGAGCCAGGAAAAGAACCCAGAGTCCCAGCTCCTGGTGTTAGGCACCGTGCCATTCTCCGATTCCTTGTTCTGCTGTTAGCCACAAGAAACAGATGCCTCAAGCTGCTTCTCAGCCACTGAACAAAGACTTTTGGTGAAGGATGGGCCAGTGGGCTAATCAGTGGGGAAGGTTTAAGGTCCAAGCCCTGCCTCTCGCCCCCAGCTGGAGCATGGCAGGCGTGGGTGAGAGCAGCTGGGGGGCGGGGCCAGAGGACATTCTACCCCCGCTCCAGGCTCCTCCCCATGGTCCATGGAGCAGGGGTGGACGCATGCAGCAGCTGGCTCCAGAGCAGAGCATGCAGCTGGGGCAGAGGGAGGACATTTCCGCCCGGGGCCAGGAGCGGGCAGCCACTTACTATCCCTTTCGCTATCGCTGAGCTCCTGGAGGCGGCAGATGTGACGGCGGGGCAGGAGCAGGGTCTGGAAAGGCCACACGGCCCAATAGGGGACCACCACCAGCCAGTCCGCGTTCTCCACCACCAGCCGCTCCTGCAGGGGACAGAGCGCCATGCTGAAGGGCTGCAAAGCCCTCCGCACTGGGAGGGGGGGCTAGTCCTGCCAGCCCTGCCCAGACACAGTGAAGCGGGGGGCAGGACCCAGGGGCGCTCCCAGGCCGCAGGTCTCTGCCATGCAAGCTAGGGCAGATCTCCCTCGCGTGGCAGCAGTGGCAGGTGCTTTGAGCTCCCTGCACATCCTTTTGCAAGAGGGTCTCACACAAACACCGAGCTCTCTGAGCCCCATTACAGAAAGAAGCTAATCTTAGGAGAAGGGGCCTTGCTTAAAAGGAGTCCAGACCTGGCCCCAGCAGGATCTGGAGCTGGTCCCCTCCCTGTTGCCTCCCGGGGGGAGCCATGACCACCCCCAGACAGAGCCAACGCCCCCGCCCACAGGCGGCTACCTTCCTCTGGGCCTCCAGCCGGGCGTACTCCAACAGCATGGGCACGCCGCGCTCCTGGAGGTGCTGCCGCTGTGTCCGGTCCTCCAGCCGGGCTTCGTTGGGGAGGAAGTTACTGGCCCAGACCTGGGGGGGAGCAGGAGAGAAGGAGTCGCTGAAGGGGAGCAGCTGAGATACCCCGCGGGGACAGTGTGAAGCGATGGGTGGGTCTGCATGGTGCAGCTGTGCTCCACGCAGCGGGCGCCAGTGGGGACAGCAGAGGCCCCCAGCTGTGGTACCAGAGCGCCACCTACTGGCAAGAACAGGGCTGAGCACCTGGTGCCCTGCTATTTCCCTATCCGCTCCCCGTGTACGGCAGAGTCCCCTTCCTGATTCTGTGATCCCCCCCAGCCCCGCATGGGCCGACAGGCAGGGACGGCACGTCTCAGCAAGGAATCGAGCCCAGCTCCTCCCCCACCTGCCTCATCTCCAGGGCCCATCCCTTCCCTGGCCTCACGGCCACCAAGGGGGCCAGTCAGCGCGTGCCCTGATGGTGGGTTCTGCAAGGTGGAGACCCACCAACCCCTGCCACAGCCATCGGGTGGGACAGACAGCATCCCCATGGCACACAGCTGGGGGCGGGGGAACAGCTGAGCGGTCTCAGAACAGCCCCTCCCCCAGGGCTTCAATCCATCTAGTTTAGATGTCTCGAGTGACGGCGCTCCCACCCGGCAGGCAGGACAGGGACCATTCCCCAACCTGACCCCGCTCACTGCAGGGAATGTTTTTCCTGAGATCAGCCTCAACTTCCTCTCTCTAAATCTCAGCCGGTCCCTCTGCGCTGTCCCCTAGGAATCCTCAGAAACTAGAGTCAGATGTTGGGGCCACACCAACCGCTGTGATCATCTGTTCGGACCTCCCGCATAACCCAGGCCGGAGAGCCCCACCCAGAGATCCCCACGTCCAGCCCAAGAGCATGTGACTCCTCACTCCTAGAGGCCAGCTTCCAGCCCCTGGATCTTGTTCTGCCTTTGACTCGGATAAAGGAGGCTCTGCTACAATAAATCATCTCCTGCGTAGGCACTCACAGACCACAAGCCAGCCAGCCCATATCCTTTCCTTCGATAAGATTGAGCTCTGCAAGTGTCTCGCTGGCACCTTCCCATGACAGGCCCCACGCCCTGCCACTCCTGGATGTCTGTGTGACAGATGCTCCCCGAGATGTCACGCGGCCAAGCCTAGCAGATTCTCCTCCCAACCCCCTCAAATCAGCCTCATTGATCGATGGCTTTTCCCTGGTCTCCCTCCAGCTCATCACCAGGTAAGAAGAAGCCAAGCCCTGAACAAACTCCGCAGCCCCAGCCCCGAGGCCCTCCCCACAGAGTCCCCCTCTCAGCATTTCACCCGAGTCACTGGGCACAACACGTCTGAGGATGGGAGATCCAGGAGCCGGCTACTCAGCCGGGCCCAGCCCCTCGGGACTGGGTGGTTCCTGCACGGGAGACAGAAAAGCTCCCCCCATTCCGTGCCCCTTTCTATACTGGGTGCCCATTGCTGTAGCATTCAGGGGGTGCCCGACACCCACCTGTGCTGAACTGCAGCCAGCCAGAGCTGCAGGGAGCATCTCAGCAGCCCGACATGAACCCTGCTTGGGGGCTGTAACTGGGGGATTTCTATGCGCACAGTGGAGCCTGAGGTGGGATCTTTAGATGCCGTTTGGCAGGCAGGGCTGCAGTGGACACCTGACCAGCAACAGGCCCCTGAGGCGTCCTGCCCCTGGAGGACTGAGGGCACCGGGGAACAGATTACAGCAGACCCTACAGCGGTTAAGGGGTTTCCCTGGGCACTCTCCCCAGTCTAGGGAGCTGGCATCACCATTCCTCATGGGTACACTCCGCTGGCTCCCTGGGCAGATGCAGATGGCACATCCCCCACCCCCGGAGAGTCACCAGGGTGGAGCTCCAGAAGTCTCTCCCCACACAGCTAGTGCGGGGCTGAGTTCCCAGCTGGGAAGCAGCTCCACAGGGAGGGCTGAGGCAGAAGGTGGCACCTGTGGGCTAGCAGTGGGCCCCCCCAGGGAGGTGGGGGGGGGGCAGGAAAGCCCACCCTGCCCCTGCAATAGCTGGCAGGGCTACACTAAGGGCTGATGCTAGCCAGAGTCGGAGAGACAGCTTTGGAAGCTAAAGGGCCTTTCGCTCCCAGCTGTATCCCAAGGGCGGAGGCCTCAGCAGCTCTCTGGGAGCACCAGGAAGGATCGCTTCACATGCTCCCCATTTAAAATGCTCCCAAGCGGATGGTACAATCCACCCCCCCCCCCTCAAACCGCTCTATTCGGCAGCAGCCTCCCCACCTCCCACCACAGGCACAAGGTTGGGGGAGGGATGGACTGGGGAGGTTGCTCAGAAAAAGCAGAACCTGGAACGGCCAGGAGAAGAAGCCAGTTGCAGGTTTATGCTGCCACCTGATGGTGAAATTGTGATCCACAAAGGCTGAGGCTAAACAGCGGAAAACATACAATAAGCCTCATCGTGAAGTATAAATGCACCCGTAACATTTCCCAGATTAGAAAAGACTGGGGGGGAGGAATGGGAGAGAAGGGAGTTGCTCTCAATGAGAAAAGTATTTTTTGAAGATGGATAGCGAAGAGGTTTTAGATTTTTACAAGGCATCTGGTCTCCCCTCCGTTTGCTTTGCACAAGGTGTGCTTTCAACCAGCAACCGTGTGCACTTCCAGGGTTTCATCATTGTAGGGTCCCTCGCAGTGGCTATGAAGTTCTATTAACTCCTTTCTAGTTACCGCTACAGCTGTCCCCCCTTCCGCCAAACAAAACAGAACAGGGAGAATCGGCGTGTTTTGTGGGAGGGTAACATAACCCGGGGCCCACATACAAGGCCAGATCTTCAGCTGGCACGAAGAGGCATGCCCCTTTGAAGTCAAGTTAGCTAAGTCAAGATCTACACTGGGTAGGGATCAACCCACAAAAAGTTACCCGGGCAGCCAGACAGTTTAGGAGGAACAAATGGGAAGGTGCATTTATGGGCCACCCAATCTTAACCCTGACCCAATAGGGTGCACTAAGCAGCTCCCATATCAGAAGGAACACTGAGAGGATTGTACGAGTGAGATTAGGGCAGTCCCTCGGCTGGGCTGTCAGCGCCTGGGACCAAGGAGGCTGAGGGAATCCCGAGTCTGGTTCACTTCGCACTGGTGATGCTGGCCCTTTTCTTTTCGCCCTGCCCTGGGTTTGGACAGGGAGATGGCAATAATCAGTTTCACTTGGCAGCTAGTCAGTTTCCCCGCCCACCCAGGTGCTCAGTGCTCAGCCCACACCCCAGTGCTCAGCTCAGTGCTGTCACCTCTGGCTCTCAGGGGGAGGGAGAGGCTGAAGCAAAATCTAGTCAGGAAAGTGGCTGTGCAAAACGGCACCCCCGACACAACGCTCAGCCCACACCCCAGGCAGGAGGCAGGTCCCTGTGCAGAGGAGCTGCAATCAGATACCAGGGTGAGGTCAACCCTCCACCAGCCCAACTGCAGCATCAGGGCCCTAGATGATGGACTTGACTGCCAAGTGAGAACTGACCAGACCTGAGGAAATGGAAAGCATCGGGGGGCAAGGAGGCAGACATGCGTTAGGATTCAGACTCCATGGCTAGCCCTGCGTTGCTGTCTGGACAGCTCAGATGTCGCGAGGGAGAGGTTTAAACACTCATTTGTTGAAGGAGACGCCACAGGAGCAATTTGAACATTGCAAAGCTGGGGGCTCTGCCAGCAGGGCTCACAAGAGTCACTTTTCAGAGAAGATCAAGGGAGGAGCAGGAGGGTGCTGGGACACCCCTTCCCCTCCCCATAACACAACACACCCACCCATGGCACAGTCCCCGGGGAGCGAGCAGTTGGTTCCCTTACCTGGCAATGAGGGTGAGGGTTGGAGCAGCCCATCATGGCCCCTTTGTTCTCAAATATCTGCAGAGAGAAGGGAAAAGAAGCTCTCGGGACTATTCTAATGTCAGCTGTCGGCAGCTGCTGGCAAGGAAGCACAGCCTAGCAGTTGGAGCACTGCCCTGAGAATCTGGACTCCATGGTCCTATTCCCACCTCTGCCCCTGAAAGGCCTTTGCAAGTCACTCACCTGCTCTGTGCCTCAGTTTCCCTATCAACCACTTGGGGGGTGATAGTGACAGTGACCGGCCTCTGGGCGGAGCGGTTCAATGCACAGATGTAGCGAGACTCCGAGACCCCAAGTGGATGGGGAAGGAGGCCAACCAAGCTCAGTGGGTGCACTGCAGAATCCCTTTGCTCTAGATCAGACTCTTCCACACGGGGAGAGGAAGGTTCTCTCTCCTTAGACCCTGGGAGCGCACATGACCAACGGAGAGGGGAGCTCTGAGCCAAAGGCAGTGGTCTAGCAGCACGGGGAAAGTCTCAGGCTGGGAGCGAGGGGGCTCAGAGACCCGATCACCAGTGAATCAGTGAGGACCCAGAGAACTGGGAGGAAGCTTGGTCTGGCTCTCCAGACTGTTAGGCACAACAACTCGATGGCAGCACCACTCTGGCTGGGATACAAAACTGGTGATGTCGCAGACAATCTGCCCAGCGCAGACCATGGGGGGCAGGTGGGGAACGGCAAGGGGCACAGCAGGGGCAGGAGAGGCTCATAACACGCCCACTACCATTTTGCACTTCTAGTGGCTCTCAGCAGCACGCGATGCTGCACCAGCGTTAATAGATTTGGCCTCACAACCATGCCCTGGGAAGGTGTGGGTCATTCTCCCGATTTCACAGGTACGGCTACCGAGGCACAGAGCCGTCACACAGGTGAGCCAGTGGACTAGAACCCAGGAATCCTGGCTCCTCACTGCTAGAGCCCACACAACGGTGACAGCACCCCCTAGCTACGCAGAGCCTTGCCCCACGTTGGAGGAAAGTCGTTCAGAAACTAACCCCCTGCAGCAGGCGGAGAGCACCGAATGCCACTCAGAGACACACATATCCGGGCACGTCACAGCTTGCGGCTTGGTGTGAGGAGCTGCCAGCTGTCTGATCCCCCCCAAGCCTATACGCATGTGCCCGGAGCCTGCATTCCCCTCACCCACCCCTAGAGGGTGCAATGCGTCTACGGGGGGTTGGCCTGCCGCTGCCCATGCTGCACCCCTGCAGGACCTTTCCCCCCCACCCCACTGGAGAGGAGGGGGGAGGCACTGACCTGCACCCAGGGATAGGAAGCGCCCAGCTCCGCCGTGAGCTCCGCCCACTGGTCAATCACTGCCCGGATCTCGGCCAGCGACATGAGGGGCAGGGTCAGGTCAGACCAAGGATGGAAGCACAAGACCTTGCTGTGAGACGGCAGGGAGAGACGGCTGTGAGTGCACGAGCCCGGGGGGGGGGGGAGGGGGCGGGGGAGAGGAAGGTGTCTCCCTCACCACAGCCCAGTCACCACCCCCACCCCACCCCACCCCCGCTTTCCCAGCCGCCCCCAGCAATCCAGCCCCACAACAAGCGGTCCCTGCAGCTGGCACTCAGCCCCCAGCCCCACCCCGGGCAGCTCAGCACAGAGGCCCCAGACTGAGCAGGCCACAGAGACAGAGCTGCCCCACCACCGCCACCCGGGATGGCCCCATCACAGGTCTCCGTCTCCTCTCACAGCTCCCCCAGGTTCCTACACACCCAGAACAGCGGGTCTGACCCAAAGCGATGGAGACGCTGGGCTATTTGCCAGTGTTTCTATGGGACCTGCATCCTCAGCAAGCGTGAATGCGCTCAGCCTCGCAAGCCCATGTCCCCCCCTCCCGCACCCTGGGAGCAGCGGGTAGGGCAGAGCACTGCCCCTATTTAACAGGGCCCAGAGAGGGCAGGTGACTTGCCCAGGGTCACCAGCAGGTTGGTGGCAGAGCCAGGGCTGAAACCTGGGAGCCAGCAAGGGGTTTCGGGGTGAAGGAAATAGCTTTCAAATGCCCCACAGCGTTAACCCCTGCGGGGACGGCACCACCATGTGATTCTCCTGCCAGGACCCAGCTGGAGGGGACAGTGGACAGGAGACGTGCCCGGGAGGGGAACCAAAGCCAAAAGCAAGAAAAGCGTCCATACAGAACACCCCGCTCCGCACATGTCCCGAGGCCGCGTACGGAGCGCCGTCCCTTCCAATCCGAAGCAGGGAACCAGGCAGGGTGGGGGCTGGGGCTGGGGCCAGCTAGAAAGCCTACCGAGCTGCAGGGCCCCAGAGCAGCCTAGGGATAACACTGTTCCCTCATTCTGCTCGAGCGCCGCATTTGGCGTTAGGCCCCTAAGGGATTAATGGCCTCAGCCGAGGCCTTTAGGCTTCATTTACCAAACTCCTTGGGCGGATGCTGCTCGGAACAAGGGGTGGCTGCAGGCGTCTGGGGAAGGAGAGAGAGGAATGAGCCAGAGATGGACGGTGAGTGGGAACAGCCCAGGTCAGGGATGAGCAGCACCAGTCCTAACCTAGAGCAGCGCAAGCATTGCCTGCCTGGCTCCGCCGATGCCCCTCAGTCCCGACCCGCAGCTTCTCCTGCTACGCCAGCTTGGAACTCCCCCTGCACACACAGCTCCACCACTGCCCCTCGGTCCCAACCACAGCTCCAGCCCCAGGCCCCGACTAAGACAACACACACAACCACACCAGCAACAAGCACCGCAGGGGGCGTGCCCGCGTGCCACGGTTGGCCGCAGGGGCCGGGCTCTCGGGGCAGGTGAGCCCTTCAGGGGGCGTGCCCGGGTTCCGGGGCTGGTTGCAGGGGCCGGGCTCCCGGGGCAGGTGAGCCCTGCAGGGGGCGTGCCCGGGTTCCGGAGCTGGCCGCAGGGGCCGGGCTCTAGGGGCAGGTGAGCCCTGCAGGGGGCGTGCCCGGGTTCCGGAGCTGGCCGCAGGGGCCGGGCTCTAGGGGCAGGTGAGCCCTGCAGGGGGCGTGCCCGGGTTCCGGAGCTGGCCGCAGGGGCCGGGCTCTAGGGGCAGGTGAGCCCTGCAGGGGGCGTGCCCGGGTTCCGGGGCTGGCCGCAGGGGCCGGGCTCCCGGGGCAGGTGAGCCCTGCAGGGGCGTGCCCGGGTTCCGGGGCTGGCCGCAGGGGCCGGGCTCTCGGGGCAGGTGAGCCCTGCAGGGGGCGTGCCCGGGTTCCGGGGCTGGCCGCAGGGGCCGGGCTCTCGGGGCAGGTGAGCCCTGCAGGGGTCGTGCCCGGGTTCCGGGGCTGGCCGCAGGGGCCGGGCTCTCGGGACAGGTGAGCACCGGTACCACCCTCTGCGGATTCTGGAGCTGGCCGCAGGGGCTGGGCTCTCGGGGCAGGTGAGCACCTCAGGGGCCCTTACCGGGTTCCGGGGCATCCGGCTGCAGTGCTGGGAAGTCATTGTCGAAGACAAACGTGCTCGTGTACTGTGGATTCACCTTTACCAAGAGAATGAGAGGCGGGTTATAAGGGCAGGGCCCCAGGGCTCATGAGAGAAGGCAGCCAGAAGCCCCCAAGTCCACACCACACCAGAGCTGCGAGTATCCTAACCCACAACCCTGGCATACCCACAGCTCACAGGCATGGAGCCCCTTCCTGCCATGGCCACTGTCCATCAGAGCCATGTGTGGGGGAGGGGGAAGAAAAGGGTGCCCAGAATGCACTGCAGTGAGGCACACCCCTCCAAAGGGGATTGTTCCCGCTGCCTCAGGGGCCCCCTCCTTTGCTCCCCGTACACGTTTGGGGGCAGGGAGAGAGATCCCATGGAAGTCGGTGGGGGGGTCCTGCACCCTTCCCTCTGCACATGGGACCTGTTCCCCCCCATCCATGAATCCAGGAGCAAAGGAGCTGAGCTCAGCACTGGGCCTGGTGCTTGGGCTTTCCTGCGCCACTCAGTGCAGCCCAGAGGACTCAAGAGAACAGCACGGAGGCTCCCAGGCCAGCAAGGGGCACGCTAGAGAAAGAAGTGCCCGCTACACCCTCCCATGCAGAGCCCACCCACCCATGCAGAGCCTTTCGGAGGGCTAGGGCCACCCCTCCCCCCGCAAACACACACACTCCGGGCCATCTATGGGCCTGCACTACCCAAGCCCTGCTGGCCTTGACAAGGGGCTCCCAGCAGGGGCCTGAGGGCAGCGCTTTCTGCAGGAATTCCTGGCTCTCAGGAGATGGTGGCGTGGGGAGGAGGAGAAGAGATGACCAGCCACAAACCACTGGGAAATGCAGAGAGCTAGAGGGGATGGATAAACTGGGTGCCTCCAGCCCATTTCCAGGGCTACAGCTGAGCAACGGGGCTTCCCTTCGGAAGGAAAAGCTCCATGTCCCAGATCCATCCCCCTGAGCCACCTGGTCCGGGCCTGGGGGACATGGCAATCTCCACAGGTGGGAATTTACACACATCAAGGAGCACACCGAGATTCCAACATGCTTGACGGGGATCCGCCAGCAGCCTAACGAGCTCTCTTCTGGGGGTCAGACATGCCAACGGTGACGCTAATGCCCATGGACGCTCACGGCTCTCCCGCTGAGAAGATGCCAGGTGTGGAGTCTAGTAGGTCGGGGCTGAGAGCCAGAACTCCTGGGTTCTATTCTCAGCTCTGCCAGATTCTCTGCATGACCCAGGACGAGTCACTCCCACTCTCTGCCCCCAGCTGTTAACCCGGCTAGCGATACCCTTCTCCCGCACACAGGCACAGCTCCATTCATTGGTGTTCACTTCCTGGGAGGTCCCCAAGGGCCAAGCTCCACTCCCCCACCCCCCAGCCCAGTACCTCCCCGTTGGCTCGCGCTGCTCCAGGGCACAGCGGGTTGGACAGGTCACAGCGAGGGACGTCCTCTCGTGGGGGTATCTCCACCTGCCCCTGCCAGGGACGCCTCATCCGGTGGGCGGACACCAGCACCCAGTCATCCCGCAGGGGGTTGTAGCGGACGTGCTGGTGCTCTGGGGGGAGGAAGGGGTCAGAGGCATGAATGCGGCGGAACCTGCTGGGCTGGGAAATGCTCTGCTAAGGGGCCATCGCCTCCACCCAGGAACACCTGCAGCAAAAGTAACTGACCCGTATACGTCTGTGCTGAACATCCCCACGGCCCAGACACCGACCCAGCCCGCACGGGCAGATGGGGAGGGTGTCGAGCGTAACACCTGACAGAGGAGCTGAGCCTCACTCCTGTTACTCCCACAGCCCCCTCTGCTCCACACAAAGGACCTCATGTTTTAAGGGGGGAATAAAATCCTTCCCCATTGCTGTTCAGTGAGAAAAGCGTCGGGGAGCAATGTTGGAAAAACAGACCGGGAAGAGGGGGGCCTGGGCACTGCGGGACGATGATGGGGGGGGATGGGATGGGGGTCCCAGGAGCTAGGGGGAAACGCTGGGGAGATGGGATGGGGAACTCATCACTGGGGGGGCATGGTGGTGTTGGGGGAGCGATGGGGAATGGAGGGGGCAGGTACTTAGGGGGAATGATGGGGGAATGGGGCGTGCCAAGCACTAGGGAAGCTTGGGGGCCAGGTGCTGAGGGCGTTAGGGCACGAGGGGGGGGGACAATGGGGGACCGGGCACCAGGCGGAGGGGAGCCACGGGGGGCGGAGGTGGGGGACCGGGCACCAGGCGGAGGGGAGCCACGGGGGGCGGGGGCGGAGGTGGGGGACCGGGCACCAGGGGGAGGGGAGGCCACGGGGGGGGGACGGAGATAGGGGACCGGGCACTGGGGGGGCCACGGGGGGGGGACGGAGGTGGGGGACCGGGCACCGGAGGGAGGGGGGCCACGGGGGGCGGGGACGGAGGTGGGGGACCGGGCACCGGAGGGAGGGGGGCCACGGGGGGCGGGGACGGAGGTGGGGGACCGGGCACCGGAGGGAGGGGAGCCACGGGGGGCGGAGGTGGGGGACCGGGCACCAGGGGGAGGGGAGGCCACGGGGGGCGGGGACGGAGGTGGGGGACCGGGCACCAGGCGGAGGGGAGCCACGGGGGGCGGGGACGGAGGTGGGGGACCGGGCACCAGGCGGAGGGGAGGCCACGGGGGCGGGGACGGAGGTGGGGGGACCAGGCACCAGGCGGAGGGGAGCCACGGGGGGCGGGGACGGAGGTGGGGGACCGGGCACCAGGGGGAGGGGAGGCCACGGGGGGGGGGGACGGAGATAGGGGACCGGGCACTGGGGGAGCCACGGGGGCGGAGGTGGGGGACCGGGCACCAGGGGGAGGGGAGGCCACGGGGGGGACGGAGATAGGGGACCAGGCACTGGGGGGGCCACGGGGGGGGGGGACGGAGGTGGGGGACCGGGCACCGGAGGGAGGGGAGCCACGGGGGGCGGAGGTGGGGGACCGGGCACCAGAGGGAGGGGAGCCACGGGGGGGGGGACGGAGGTGGGGGACCGGGCACCAGGGGGAGGGGAGGCCACGGGGGGGGACGGAGATAGGGGACCGGGCACTGGGGGAGCCACGGGGGGCGGAGGTGGGGGACCGGGCACCGGAGGGAGGGGGGGGCCACGGGGGGGGACGGAGATAGGGGACCGGGCACTGGGGGAGCCACGGGGGGGGCAGGGGCGGAGGTGGGGGACCGGGCACTGGGGGGGGCCACGGGGGGGGAGGGGGGAACGGAGGTGGGGCGGATCGGGGACACGGGGGCGGAGGTGGGGGGACCGGGCACCGGAGGGAGGGGGCCACGGGGGGGACGGAGATAGGGGACCGGGCACTGGGGGGGCCACAGGGGGGGGGACGGAGGTGGGGGACCGGGCACTGGGGGGGCCACGGGGGGGGGGGGACGGAGGTGGGGGACCGGGCACCGGAGGGAGGGGGGCCACGGGGGGCGGGGGCGGAGGTGGGGGGACCAGGCACCAGGGGAGGGACTCGGGTGGGGCGGGGCGAGCCGAGCCCCCTCCTACCGCGGGGCTGGAAGGACCCGACCGCCGGCCGCGTCTCGCCGGGCCCCGAACTCGCGGGCTCCGAGCGCGCCTCCATCCGGCCCCGCACCGGCCGCGGCTTCCGCGTCACGTGACTCCCCGCCGTTGCAGGGGCGGCCGCAGCGCGGGGACCACGTGCTGTACGTCACTGCGTACGCGCCGCCACGTTCCCTCCCCCCGCGCGCTGAGCCGGGAGCGGCCGCTCTGAGCCCCCGGGGCAGGGGGGAGACCCTCCGCCCGGGCCTGCGGCGCGCGAGCCCCGCCCCTTCTCTGGGGCCTGTCACCGCCCCGCCCCCGGCCTGTCACTCCGAGCCAGTGCCCGCTCGGCCCCGCCCCATGGCGTCGGCCTGCGAGCTGTGATTGGCCGGTGCCCTGGGCCCCCAGCGGTGCCATTGGCTGGCGCGGAGCGGGCGGTCCCGCCCCCCGGCGAGGCTCGGCGCGCGCCGCGGCGGTTTGCGGCGAGGGGCGCGCGGGATGCGGGCGCTGGGGTCGCGGGCGCTGCGGGCCGGGCTGGCGCTGCTGGGCCTGGCGCTGCTGGCCCAGGGGCTGCGGAGCTGGGTCGCCTCCCGCCCCTTCGAGTTCCGGCCCGAGGAGATCGCGGCGCTCGGGCGGCACCACGCGGGTGGGTCCGGGCGCGGGGCAGGGACTCGGGGGGGAGACACCCATGGTGCGGGGGCTGGGGGGTAACGCGAGGGGGGCCCGTTGGGTGGGGCCCCGGGGCGATGTGTGGCTCTGAGGGGGTGGGACCCATGGGATGGGGGGCTGGGGGGTAACGCGAGGGGGGCCCGTTGGGTGGGGCCCCGGGGCGATGTGTGGCTCTGAGGGGGGTGGGACCCATGGGATGGGGGGCTGGGGGGTAACGCGAGGGGGGCCCGTTGGGTGGGGCCCCGGGGCGATGTGTGGCTCTGAGGGGGTGGGACCCATGGGATGGGGGGATGGGGGGTAACGCGAGGGGGGCCCGTTGGGTGGGGCCCCGGGGCGATGTGTGGCTCTGAGGGGGTGGGACCCATGGGACGGGGGGATGGGGGGTAACGCGAGGGGGGCCCGTTGGGTGGGGCCCCGGGGCGATGTGTGGTTCTGAGGGGGTGGGACCCATGGGGGGGGGGGGCTGGGGGGTGGGACCCATGGATGGGGGGATGGGGGGTAACGGGAGGGGGGCCCGTTGGGTGGGGCCCCGGGGCGATGTGTGGCTCTGAGGGGGTGGGACCCATGGGATGGGGGGATGGGGGGTAACGCGAGGGGGGCCCGTTGGGTGGGGCCCCGGGGCGATGTGTGGCTCTGAGGGGGGTGAGGACCCATGGGATGGGGGGTGGGGGGTAACGCGAGGGGGCCCGTTGGGTGGGGCCCCGGGGCGATGTGTGGCTCTGAGGGGGTGGGACCCATGGTGCGGGGGCTGGGGGGTAACGCGAGGGGGGCCCGTTGGGTGGGGCCCCGGGGCGATGTGTGGTTCTGAGGGGATGAGACCCATGGGACGGTGGGATAACACGGGGGGGATATAAGGAGGACCCATGGGACGGAGGGATAGGGGGTAACGTGTGGGGGGACCTATGGGGTGGGGGGCTTTGGCGGGGAGAGCCAAGTGTGAATTGTTGGCCAAGCCTGGGGCAGGTCTCTGGGTCCCCGGCAGCCCCTGGGGCGCAGCTGCACCGATTCGTGCCAGGTGCCCACTTGCCTGGTGGGTGTGACATTGGGACCGGGGGCTGCCTGCCCAGGGGAAGGGGCAGAGAATAGACTCGAGGTGGGGCGGATGTTCGATCCCATCCCTAATGTCTTATTCCCCGAGTGAAGCAAAGGTCCCCATTTATGTTCTCTGTGTATATAAATTTCCCCCCTGTATTTTCCACTGAATGCATCCGATGAAATGAGCTGTAGCTCACGATAGCTTATGCTCAAATAAATTTGTTAGTCTCTAAGGTGCCACAAGTCCTCCTTTTCTTTATTCTAAATTTGGTGTCTCATATTGGTGGGAGCCAGGGAAGTGGCGGGGCCATGGGCATCCTGGGGGTGCTGACTTTGCCCAGGTTTCTTGGTGCTGCAGGGTTGGATCATGAGCAGGCCTTCTCCAAGATCATTGTGGAGCTGCGGAAGAAGCACCCAGGCCACATCCTGCCGGACGAGGACCTGAAGTGGGTGTTTGTCAACGCAGGCGGGTGGATGGGCTCCATGTGCCTGCTCCATGCCTCGCTCACTGAGTATGTGCTGCTCTTTGGGACGGCCATCGACACCGGGGGGCACTCGGGTAAGCAGGACTCAGCTACATTCAAGCAGAGAGGCTTGGGTTGAGGGGCTGCTATTGGGTAGCCAGTGTTTGGAGCTCACTTTGATCTCCAACTGGGGTTCTTGCACCCCAGCATTGAGTGTTGCAGACATGACCCTAGATCTGCAGTCTCTGGGGTCGTGCTCGCTGAGGATGGAGGCAGAACCTTTCCCCCAAGGCTCAGCCTGAAGAGGGCTGGAAATCTCATCCCACCTTGCAAGCAGCGGGGTGGGAGGGAGATGCAGACTTTGTAGTCTTTTGCTCTCCAGGGCACAGACTGAGCCGCTTTCACAACGTGTGCAGATCACACATGCTTCCAGCCCCCAGGAACTGGGTCATGGGTCAGGGACTCCATGTAGAAGCAACCCGCCCCCCACTAGGCATGAAAGCCACCTGTTTGGAAGGGGTTAAAAGAACTGTCCTAAATATGCACTTGGTCCAAACACGCTGCACAGTCCTTAGAGGGCAGTACATCTAGGGGGCCATTGGGGATCTCAGCCTCAGTGCAGTGATGCAGGGGAAGGGGGGTTTGTCTGTGGCTGTGTTTCTCTGCCTTTTAACACCTTTTACACTAAAACAAACAACCGTGGTGTTTCCTCAACTGTGTCACGCAAACACAGCTCAGCACCCTTGGCCTCCGGCCTGCCTGGCCAGAAGAATCCCAGAGAGATCCCCACGCTCCAGAGCCAAGGCAGGATTGTTCCCTGCAGTGTGTCCCCTTGAGCTTTTTCTAATCTAATAAGTGACTGAAGCAAACGGCTTCATCCCATTCCTCTTAGACCTTTGTCCTACCCCCCTGATAATCTGCTCCCTCCGTGGGGCTCTTCCCCATCAGGTCCTTGTATGTGCCTGCGGTGCCTTCTCTTCTCTCCACTGCCCCCTGCCAGCTGTGGTCAGGCTGAGCTGAAAAAATTTAGCGCTTCTGATCATTCTTCTTTTGTCCGTAGCTCCCCAGCATGGCCTGTCTGGTAAGAGGAGTATCTCTGCCTCGTGATCCCTCTTGGTTACATCTCCAGTGGGGTGGCTGGGCATTCAGGATCCCCCAGCCCAGGAATGCTGTGTAAACACACTTGCAGAAAGACACCATGTTGAGGCACATAGAGGGAGCCTGTCTTGTGTCTGATTTCTCTCCTCCCCATGGGGAGTTGACTCCAGCACGTTAGCTGCTGAGCAGTGAAGCCAAGACTAATGAGAAAAGCCCAGGCTCCAGAGACCACTGGCCAAGGATGTCTGACTGCCTGTCCCTTTGATGGTCCATGCTCGGGGTGTGCTGATCAGCAGAACCCTCCAGCCTCCAAGAGCCAAAATGAGGGGGAACGCAGCTGGATCCCCGAGAATGGAGGAGGCAGAAGCAACTTGAGACCCTTTCCCTTTATCCTGCAGCCAGCATCTCAAGGTTGCCTCAGAGCCCCTGCTCCCTTTGATTGCCTGTGGCAAACGATCATGGAGAGGAAGGTGGCAGCATGCGGTTGGGTGGGCTCCTGTCCTTGGCAGAGCCCCTGGGGATGCAACAAGCAGCCAGATCCAAGCTGTGGGTGGAAGGGATTTGTTCCATGAGGTTTTGGAGACCTGGATATTAAGGCCCCACCTTCCCCCATAGCCGTGTTGAGATTTCACACTGTGTGCCTCTCTCGCAGGTCGGTACTGGGCTGACATCTCCGACACCATCATCTCGGGGACCTTCAGGCAGTGGAAGGAGGGGACGACCAGAAGTGAAATCTATTACCCAGGTGCTGTTACCCAGGGTTCTTTCAACCCAAAGCTCTTGGTAACCTTACTCTGTGCGAGGTGGTGTCAAAAAATAAATCAGTGGCGACACGGCCGTCCAACCGATAGGTGGCTGGCACAAACAGGACAATACAAGAGTGTTCACACTTAAAGCTATACTTTACTTAGTCTTAAACACTTACAAACATCCGCAACAGGTTGGTAAAACACCCCAAAAAATCCCAGATGCATATTTACCCAGGGTCTTGAGGCAGTCTTGAGTGGATAACTGCAACTGTCCAGTGGCCAGCCGGATGTCTGTAGGGAAGCTTGAGAGGTGTCCAGGCATTGAAGTGTCCATCAAGCTCAGATTTCTTCCTCTTTTTATATCCAACTTCTTAGTATTAAGTAGCTTGTTCATTAACAAAACTGCTGAGCAGAAACCCAGATAAGGGTGGAGATTTCCAGCCTGTCAGGTGGACAATTTTCCATCAGTCAAGCAGGAAAACTTTCCATCAGTTAACTGGCTGTATAGCAATAGTTAACTATTGCCAGACTTTCCATCTTGCCAAACGGCATGCTTCAGAAAAGCAACTCCAATCAGGAGGGCAAGGGTCATGTTTACTCCTTGCGGTCACTCACTCCACCTTCCCCTCCTGGTCTGTTAGTTGTGCCAGGGTTTCAGAAAGGCCTCCTCTTAGCTGCTTTCAGCAATAAGCATAGCAATTGGTATGCCAGCCGCTGGCAGTGATTTAAACATGTTACTGGGCTCTGGGCTATCAAAACTCTGCTCCCACAGTGCATTTGGCACTGTCAGCACCAGCCCCACCCTTTCGTGCTCGAAGATCTCCCCTGCGTGGCTGCCTCTGCAGGGCTGGTTGCCTGGGGCTTTTCATGTACGGATTTGAACGGATAAGGCTAGAGCTTCGTTAGCCCCACAGGATAGAGGGAAGCTTGCAGGGGACAGCAGATTAGCCTGCAGAACACCACACCACTAGATCTCATGGAGGCCAAGAGTTGAGCAGGATTCAAGGAAAGCATACACGCTGACGGGTAATGAATACATCTCCCTCAGGTGGGATTAAAAAACATGGGTGGGATTAGAAAACATAAAGCCGCCTGGTTCAGAGCAGCAGCCAGCCACTGAGTATCAGGAGGAAATCGCCCCTGTGGGAAGGCTGTTCCATGATTCTACACCAGGGTACATGCTTGCAATCTTCCTTGGAAGCAGCTGGTACTGGGCTCTGTCAGGGACAGGCTTCTGGATTAGCTCCGCCCCCACCCCCCTCTGGCAGCTCTCCAGCATGGTGCTGAGCATCCCCCTTGTCCCGGGCTTGGAGTGGAGGTTCATCAGGCCCACAAAGAGCCCTGTGTGCTGTCTCTGGAGACATACCAGAGCAGCACGTTGGAACCAGTATTTTTCAGAATAACGGCCAGTGCTGTGTCTGTCTGTCTGCCTGCAGGGGACACCATAGTGCACCAATCTGGAGAGGCCACAGCTGTCCAGTGGAGCGCTGGCACCTGGATGGTGGAGTATGGCCGTGGCTTCATCCCCTCCACGCTCATGTTCGCCTTGGCCGACACCATCTTCAGCACTCAGGACTTCGGCACCCTCTTCTGCACCCTCCGGGTTTATGCCAAAGCCTTACTTCTGGAAGCCAGTGCCTATTTCAGCCACCTGACCCAGTGAGACCACCCTCCCCAAACACCAGCACGGCGTTACAGGAAGGGGCATCCTTTTCCCATCCCCCACCATCATGCAGATCTTACCAGAAAGGCAACGAGCAAGAGCACCTCTGCCCCTTCCCCCCTGCACACGCAGGTGTGCCAGGTAGGCTGACCATTAGCTGTGTCGTCCGCCTGCCGCAGTGAGCACTCAGCCGGGTGAGAAACAGGCAATAACAGATAAACCTAGATCGCTATTTTTTTAATATCCAAATGTTCCTCTATATTTCTGTAACTAGACTGCAGCGACTGAGCTGCTGCCCACATCTGTGTGTGTCCATCCCCTCTGTCTGCAGCTGTGTCTCGTGTGCTTTGAAAACAGGGGGGCCTACGAAAATCCAGTCATGGGGGTGTGTGTGACATGGATCATCCTGTGCATACACACTCTGGACATGAGAGAAACCATGCCCAGCGTGTGTCTACATAGACTAGGGCCAACTGCTGAGCTCACTCGTCCCCAGCTGAACCCGGAGTAACTGCAGTGGAGTAAATGGGGTTCAGCTAGTGTGAATCTGGTGTCTAGCCTTGGAGGTAATATACAGCAGGGTGGGTCTGACTTCCAGACGCTGTCTGGGTAAAGTACAGATTGTATATTAGCCACTTCCCATCTCTGTTTCTCAGTGGACAGCGTCTGGTGTAAAGTACCTGTAGATGTGCTCTGTGTGGTACTTCATGCACTCAGTATAGATTACGTAGGATACCCGTGTGTATCCTGTAATCTGCCTCGTCTTCTATTTACTGTTTCTACTATAGAATCTGTCTGATTTAGAGTTCGCTCCTGGGGGTGCTCTAATACCCAGTGTCACTAGATGGCATGTTCCGTTAGACACTAGCATCAAGTACCATCTGCAGGAACATGCTGTGCTCCGTGTTGAAAGGCCTGTGGTTTGTGCGCCTCATGCAGTCTGCGTCACCCTGCCCTTGTGTCCTGTTTTGTGTATGTACAATCTGCCTCTTTTGCAAGGCTCTGATGCGGGGAGATTAGGGAGGAAGGCCAGAGACTGGAGCAGGGGCCCTTTCCATGGTGCACATTCTGCAGAGGCCCTGTTATTGTTTGTTCCTATGATGGGGAGAGCCACCATCCATCGCCTTAACAGACAGCCTTATTGTGGTGGCCTCCTGGGCTATGCACGTGTCTGTACCTCCTGGTGGTGGTGCCTCGGCTGCGGGGCAGTCTGTGCCCCTAAAGGGATCTGTGTGGGCTGAGCCCCAGGGCTGGGGTGCACATGGCGGAGCTCGAGTGGAGCCAGCCTGCCCTGTGGACTGTCTCTTGTAACCAACCTTTGATGGTTATGGGGATTTGCCCCCATAGCTGTTCCCCAGTCTGAGATACCTCATTCCTCTGTCCCATGTGGCCCTGGCTCTCTCCCAAGCTGATGTACTGATATTTGAGAAATGGACGTTACTGAAGACTTTGGGGCAGGAAAGCAGTTGTTCCAAACCTGAGGGCTGCTTTCCCTGTAGGGCTTCACAGATTTTACTGCTGGGGGGAATTCTGCACCACTGCATGCATGGAGAAACATGTCCCACTGCAGACTTTTTGCTCTCCCCCAGAAAAATGGTTTCTGTGGGGAAGCAAAAAGAAGTGGCACCAGCGCTCACTCACCCCTCCCCTGCAGTGCAGGTGGCCCAGAGGAAGAGGTAGGTCACTGTGGGGGGGCAAGGGAAGGAGGGAGGGTCTGGTGATGCCTTAGTCACCCAGGGACATGTGGGGGAGGGGAAGGAGGAGGAAGGACGGAGACAGAGTTCCTTCTCTGCCTTCCCTGGATGGAGCAGCTGGGGCTGGGTCAGATCAAGGGGTTACTGTACAGTGAGCTGCTCTCCCTGTCTGCCCAACCTCCATCTGGATCTCCCCCGTCAAACCTCACCCCCCCACATACATACATGGAGTCCCCCCTGCATCTGGAGCCAACATACCCAGAGGCCCCTCCCCTCACCCAAACCCCCATGCTCCTGAGCCTCACCTCTGGCATCAGGTGCACCCCCACCCCACCAAACCCCACTCCCCCAGCATGCCGATGCCCCACTGAGTCCAACCCCAGACACTGGCCACCAGCTGAGCCCTAACCACCTTCACCTAAACTCTCCTGCAGAGTCCCATTGACCTGGCACCCAAATGAGCTCCTGTGCATCCAGATCCCCTCCCCCCAACCAAGCTGCCCACACCAAGATTGCACCATACCTAACCTTAGCACACAATAGCAGATTTAAAGGTGGCCGTCCTGCAGCAAAAAAACTTCAGGACCAGACGTCAAAGAGAAACTGCTGAGCTTCAGTTCATTTGCAAATTTGACACCGTCAGTTCAGGATTAAACACAGACTGTGAATGGCTCACCAACTACAAAAGCAGTTTCTCCTCCCTTGGGGTTCACACCTCAACTGCTAGAAGAGGGCGTCATCCTCCCTAATTGAACTAACCTCGTTATCCCTAGCCTGATTCTGGCTTGCGTATTTATACCTGCCTCTGGAAATTTCCACTACATGCATCCGACGAAGTGGGTTTTCACCCATGAAAGCTCATGCTCCAATACATCTGTTAGTCTGTAAGGTGCCACAGGACTCTTTGCTGCTTTCACCGATCCAGACTAACACGGCTACCCCTCTGATACTTGATACCTAATCTTGGTCCTCATGAGGGAATTCTGCACCAAAAATTAAAAATTCTGTGCCTACAAATTCTGCAAAAGTTGCACATTTTATTTGTGAAAAGAACGCAATATAATCACACCATTCTCAATTATTTGCTGACAAGTATTTTGAAATAAATTACCAAAATAATTGAAAATGGTGTGATTATGTTGTTTTCTTTTGAGAAATAAAATATGCAGCATTTTAAAATATTGTGTGCAGAATTTTTAATATTTTTGGCACAGAATTCCCTCTAGTATTTTACAAACCTTTGGTCTCTTACTACAAAGGGGTGGCCCCTGGAAACTACAGGTCCTAGCATTCAATGCAAGCAGTCTAAGATGCGGTGTTATATGCTGGGCCTGCAGGTTGCCTGCGGATGGGCTAACTGCCTGGCTACATCTGAAATGGCTTCCCCCCGTGAAACTGTCCAGGGGCCAAATGCTGGTTACTTGCTTTTGGCAACCACGTTTACAGCCTCTTTAGCCCTTCTTCAGTAATGTCCGTTTCCAAACGAGCATCACCATGAGAGCCAGCCGGCTCCGGAGCATGCGTCTTGTTCCTGGTCCTTGGACTGTCCTCCTGCCTTGGTACATGTACGGCCTGGAATCAGTCACTCTTATTTTTATCAGTGTCAAGAATAAACATGCTCATCTGGCTTAATGTTTTTATTTATTTTGTTTTGAGAGTGCGAGAGAATAGCTGGCCCGTGCAGACCTTTCCTGTATGCTTTGGGGACGGTGAGGAGGAAAGGTGGTTTTGTTGGTGGTCAGTAATGAAAAGTACTGTGAATCCAAGGTTTGTATCATTTCTGCCAGAGAAGCCGAACTGACCCTAAATAAGGCTATGATTTTGTCATGGAGGCAGTGGGGGCCCCAAAGATCTGGGTCGTCGTGGGGGACCGCCACCGCAGGCAACATCAGGTACCCTGCAGCTCCCGGCCGCCACAGGCAGCAGGGGATATCCCACAGCTCCAAGTCATGGTTGGAGGGGACTCTTGGAGCTCTCAGCCCCCATGGGTGGTGGGGACCCCTGCAGCTTCCTGCCAGCCCCTGCAGCTGCCCAGAGGCTTCCCATTGTGTCACCGGTATTTTTAGTAAAAGTCAAGGACAGGTCATGGGCTTCCATGAATTTTTCTTTATTGCCAGTGACCTGTCCCTGACTTTTACGAAAAATATCTGTGACAAAATCTTAACCTTAACCTCAAGTTGCATTGGGGGAGGTTTAGGTTGGATATTAGGAAAAAGTTTTTCACTATGAGGGTGGTGAAGCACTGGAATGGGTTCCCTAGGGAGGTGGTGGAATCTCCTTCCCTCGAAGTTTTTAAGGTCAAGCTTGACAAAGCCCTGGCTGGGATGATTTAGTTGGGGATTGGCCCTGCTTTGAGCAGGGGGTTGGACTAGATGACCTCCTGAGGTCCCTTCCAACCCTGATATTCTATGATTCTATGAACCTTAATCCTAAATAATCAACTCCAGGCTACAAAGGGGGGAGGGGCAGCCAACATCTCATAATGTGCAACCCTGCTCCCTAGGAGTAGCCAGGGTCCTGTCTCCTGAGGGGACCGCCACAAAGGCCTGGTCTAAACAGGAAGGTTTTAGCAGCATAGCTATTGCTGGTGGGGGGGAATCACCCCTTCAAGTCATTAGCGTCACTCAGCTGTGAGTGAGTCTGCTTGTGATGCATAAGGCAAGACAAACCCCTGCCACAGTCCATGCATTCCTCTGGGTACAGTCATACCACCCAGTGCCAGCCTTCCCCTCCTAAAGACTCCCTCCCTCATTGGCCTGTCAGTAATAGGCTCCAGCGGTCCATGAGCCCCTTCCCCGGCTCTCCAGGCGTCTGGCACTTTCCGTGTCTCTGGGAGAGTTTGAGCTCCTTGAGGCAGGGATCGGCTGTGGCGCGCTGGGCCCCCTTCTGGGTCAGTGACTGGGTGCTGGTGCTATTTCGTTCCTTCTCAAGAGCCCAGTCACTGAGTTCCCAAGGAGACTTTTGTTGCTCTTCTAACGTCCAGGCTGCCCCTTCCTGCTGGCCCCTCACTGCCTCAGGCAAGGAGATTCTGCAGCCAGAGCCATCCTGTCCTGTGAGTCCAGGAGAGAAGCCGGCTCTGGCCATAGCTAGATCCTCCCAGGCAGGTGTAATGGGAGTTAACATGGCCAATGAAGTCAACAGTTGGGGCTGAGGTGCACAGGGAGGAGGTGTTTTTCTGAGCCCGCTTTTCCCTCTCTCTGCCCTTACATGGCTTTATCTGCACCCCTCCTACGCCTGCGCTTTTCACCTATACAGGTCCTAGAACTAGCTGTGTACAGGAGCCCTCCCACATTCAGACTGTCCCTCACACCCCCAGTGGGTTATTTCTGGCCCACAGGTGACCCCTGTTCCCTATTGTCAGGGACCCTGAATTACTCTGTGGCCAGAATTAAACTCCTTGATGCTCTCCAAGGAGCTGAAGGGAGGTGGCCTGTGCCCTAGAAAAGGGTTTTTTCCAGACAGATGAAAGAAGGGGCCATATCCTCATGGAGCTGTGAAGATTTACATCTGCTGAGGAGCTGAGCCGAGGGCTTTCATGTCACCTTTGATTTCCCAATCCCGAGACAACAGCGATTCTTCCAGGGCTGTGACGAGAGCTGGATCGTTCAGCCCTCTGATGGGAAAACTCATGAGGCTTTTTTTCCAGTAGATTTGTTATCATTACTAATGTACATAGAGACTGAATGAATAGAGCTCGTTCTCCTCCATTGTAGCGCTGCTCTGCAACCCCCCCAACCCCCCCAGTTCTCTTGCTGAACGTCAGCCTTGCTAACCTGGGCACTAACGAAACATGCCAGCCAGTAACTCCTCCACGGGCAGGGGGCTCAGCGAGCTGCAGCTCTTCCCCACAGAGGTCTGTTTTCATGCTTGTAGGCGTTGATGGAGGGGGCTGGAGTTTCCCAGCGGGCACGAGATTTAGAGCTAACTTTTTGATGCCAGATCCTGTGGGCCTAAATATCGCTTTCCTCACAGACGCTGCCTGGGTGGGAAGTAGCTTTTTGTGAAGGGGAACAGACTGTCTTCATGGCTCCATTTCCCGTGGAGGTGACTCTTACCAAGCTGAACAAATCTAGAAACGCCCGCAGGGGGGAGAAAAAACATGCACTGGAATCTTTCTCTGGGACTTACACAAAAACATTTCATTGTGGCCAAGGCCCCGCAATTAGCTTGAAATGTGGGGAGGATTGTCTGCTTTGGGCTCCACTCATTCTCCAGGCTAGCAGGGTTGACCTGATCTTTTCGCCATTTTCTGCGTGGGGCAGACTGTGTCACAAGGCGGTCAGGGATGTGTCTTGGGGCTGTCGCTGCTCTGAGCCTGCTTGCACCCCACAACAGCGTGGGACCTTGGAAAATCCCACAATGCTTTGCTGCAGAGTAGGTCATGCTGTTTCTGGAGGCTGATCTTCCCAAAGGAGCTGCCAGGCTGTTTGTGGGCACAGCAGTTAGGGAGGGGAGCAGCCCCTGTCCTATGTCTAAAGCCCTACCAAATTCGTGGCCATGAAAAACGCAGTATGGACCATGAAATCTGGTCTTTTGTGAGCTTTTACCCTGTAACATACAGATCTCACAGGGGGAGACCAGCATGTCTCAAACTGGGGGTCCTGACCCAAAAGGGAATTGCAGGTGGGTCACGGTATTGCCACCCTTACTTCTGTGCTGCCTTCACAGCTGTGTTGGCCAGGCGCCCAGCTCTGAAGGCAGGACCCTCCCAGCAACAGTGCAGAAGGGTGGCAATACCATTCCATGCCACCTGTACGTCTATGCTGCTGCCTTCACAGCTGGGCGGCTGGAGAGCGGGGGCAGCAGCACAGACATAAGGGTGGCAGTACCATACCATGCCATCCTTGCTTCTACGCTGCTGCCAGCAGTAGCAGAGAAGGAAGGGTAGCAGTGCAGCGACCTCTCCTGTGAGAACCTTGCCACCACGCCACAGCTCCTGGTTTTGGGTCAGGACCCCTACAATTAAACGCTGTGAAATTTCAGATTTAAGTAGCTGAAATAATGAAAGTTGCAATTTTTAAAACCCTGTGACTGTGAAATTGACCAAAATGGGCCGTGAATTTGATAGGGCCCTGGTCCCAACACAAAGGGTTAATGCTTGGCACGACCTCTACCAGCTCCTGGTGGGGTTGCTGCCATGAGTATGGGAGTCAAACCTGTTGGGGCCCCTTAGCTGCCCTGCTCATGGTTCCTGCTAGCGCCCCTTGGCTCTGCCCCCCAGTCTTTCCCTGCAGGCCAGTGCCTGCTCGGCCCCTCCCCCTGGTCTGTCACTCCGAGCCAGTGCCCGCTCGGCCCCTCCCCCCTGGTCTGTCACTCCGAGCCAGTGCTCGCTCGGCCCCCCCCCGGCCTGTCACTCCGAGCCAGTGCCCGCTCGGCCCCGCCCCCGGCCTGTCACTCCGAGCCAGTGCCCGCTCGGCCCCGCCCCCGGCCTGTCACTCCGAGCCAGTGCCCGCTCGGCCCCGCCCCCAGCCTGTCACTCTGAGCCAGTGCCTGCTCGGCCCCGCCCCCAGCCTGTCACTCTGAGCCAGTGTCTGCTCGGCCCCGCCCCCTGGTCTGTCACTCCGAGCCAGTGTCCGCTCGGCCCCGCCCCATGGCGTCGGCCTGCGAGCTGTGATTGGCCGGTGCCCTGGGCCCCCAGCGGTGCCATTGGCTGGCGCGGAGCGGGCGGTCCCGCCCCCCGGCGAGGCTCGGCGCGCGCCGCGGCGGTTTGCGGCGAGGGGCGCGCGGGATGCGGGCGCTGGGGTCGCGGGCGCTGCGGGCCGGGCTGGCGCTGCTGGGCCTGGCGCTGCTGGCCCAGGGGCTGCGGAGCTGGGTCGCCTCCCGCCCCTTCGAGTTCCGGCCCGAGGAGATCGCGGCGCTCGGGCGGCACCACGCGGGTGGGTCCGGGCGCGGGGCAGGGACTCGGGGCCGTGAGGAGAACCTATGGGCCTGGGGATGGAGTCCCGGGGGACCCATGGGGCTGGGGCTCAGGGGGGGTCAGGGGGGGGACCCATGGGACAGAGGGTTGGAGGGTCTGGGGGGGATCCATGGGGCAGGGGCTCGGGGAGGATGTGGGGGGCAACCATGGGGCAGGGGCTCGGGGAGGATGTGGGGGGCAACCATGGGGCAGGGGCTCGGGGAGGGTGTGGGGGGGACCCATGGGGCAGGGGCTTGGGGGGGTCTGGGGGGATCTATGGGGCAGGGTCTGGGGGGGACCCATGGGGCAGAGGGTTGGAGGGTCTGAGGGGGACCCATGGGGCAGGGGCTTGGGGAGGGTCTGGGGGGGACCCATGAGACAGGGACTCGGGGGGGAGGTTTGGGGGTGACCCATGGGGCAGAGGGTTGAAGGGTTTGGGTGGGGACCCATGGTACAGGGACTCGGGGGTCTGGGGGTGACCCATGGGGCAGAGGGTTGGGGGGATGGGGGGTTTGGGAAGGGGACCCAAGGGGCAGGAGCTCGGGGCTGGGGGGAGCAGCAGAGAATAACTGGAGTGGAGCATGTTAGATCCTGTCTCTAATGCCTGATTCCCTGAATGAAGCCAGGGTCACCATTCTGGGTTCGGTGGCTTCTATTGGCTGGGCACCAAGAAGGTGGCAGGGTTATGGACCGGGGTGCGGGCATCCTGGGGGTGCTGACTTTGTCTGGGT